TGGTGATGACTGGCAGCAGGTTGCGTCTGTGTTAAATGTCAACCTGATGACTTGCCGATATTGGATTAAAACGTTAGATTCAAACGAACCAAAAGGAGAATGTGACGGCTCATGTCGAAAGTCACAAACTGATATCTACATGGATTTTTTTGGCGGAATGGGTGGAAGCAGAGCCAACAATAACCTTAGAATGTCTTCGTTTCGAATTGAAAGTGGAGTTCAATGTGGAGGTGAAGGTCAGCACAGTGACTCGGTACCTAGAAGATCGCTTCATTGCCATGAAAAAGCTACATGCTATACCGGAGTCGATGAATATGCTTGAGAATAAGAGGCGAAGGAAGTCGTGCGTTTTGCAGCTGAAGTGTGGCAAGCAGTTTGCATTGATGAAATGAATTGCATTCTGTTTTATGCTCGCACAAGGGCGCATTCAGCCCATGGCAGACGTGCGCAGTGTGTGGTAGCGAGCACTCGTGGACAAACTTTCCAATTTATCAGCGTAACGACTGCGGATGAACTTTCAGGATATATCGTCCCAAGGGGGAGTTGCAACAAGGAAAGGTGTGCACTGTGGTTGCGGCAAATGCTTGATGTCAACGGCACCGCTGTTTCTGGTAGGTGTCTGTTGATATGTGACAGCACAAATGTCATGGCCGCACATAGCGCATTGCAGTGCAAATGTCAATGCTTTCCTCATCCGTCAAACCGATGATTTCTTACACACAACAGCTTTAAACAGGTAACTCGGCGGCACCCAATGTCATTGCACGCCGTATGTCCTGCTCGCACAGTACAGTGGTAGTGCGCAAAGAAAAACCACGTACATAGATGGGTAAATGTCTGCAAGTTCGTTCACTTAGCAAACGCCTTGGGAACCGTGAGGCAACGATATGAAATATTCCATAGGAACAGATCAATCGAACAAAGGCGTAGCAAAGGCAATAGGCGAGTGAAACCCCGGGTGCCTTATCAAGCACGTCGCCTAACAACAGTGAGGATGCCAATGTGCAGCAGGCGCGCACTCAACCTGATCTGAATCAATTCATCCGGCCAGCCGACTGTACTCGATTTTGCTTGGTAAGGCGTATGGAACACGTGACGCTATAACACCATTTATAGTGGACACTGCATTTCGTATTGTCCGTGACCTTGTACTCTTTAAAACTATCGTGGGCCGTCTCAATATTGTTACTTGTGACACGGCACTACCGTACTATTTGTGACCCCACATTGTTGGAGCATTGATGTGAGTGATCAAGCGTGGAACGCATTCATCCGGTAGATCTTTGTGGGTGGGTAATATACGGACTTACGACTTTGTACCTTTGGTATTATTCAGCGAATTCATCATCGTCCCTGCCAATCAACAGGCTTAGTCTAGTCTGGAAAAGCATCAGATGCCGGCGTTTCGACCTTCTGCGTCTCGTCAGTGGTGCTCCTCTAAGCGGACCCCTGCCGGGTTACGCCCCCATTACTTCAGGATGCTAGCAGTTAGAGCCACTTCGCCATGGTTGACAGCCACGGGCCTGTGTGACTGACAATGATTTGGTATTGCTAATTTATACCATCGACCTATCCGTAGAAGGCTTGTAGTCGGTAATTTAGTATATATATATATATATATATATATATATATATATATATATATACTGCAATTATCCTTATGTGATATATTCTATTACTGGTGGGCTGTAGATCCAACAATGAGTCCTAGTCCTCCTTTTCCGATGTTACACTGGGATTGTTATTATGTTCGTAATTAAATATCATTTTACTGTTCAGATTTTCTGTATTTCAGCCTACTTGCAGACTAATAAGAGAGGAAAAGAGGACAGTGTTTCGTTTGCTTTGTTTATTTTCTCATAGTTTACTTTCTGATTCGCGAAAAATTGTGCGTATTGACTATGTGGCCCACGCTATGCATTTTGTCAGTTATCAGGCCCGCTTAAATTATTTTTACCGGTGATCCGGCCCGCCTTGTAAAAAAGTTTGGCGACCCCTAGCGCAGACCATCCAACATTGCGCTTAGTGAGCATACCCCAGTCCACACATTCTCACCGCTCTCATGCGGCACTAGCCCAAATTCCATGCCAGCCGGTCCTCCACAACGGTGTATAGGCAAAACCCGTCATGCAAAACATTGAGTCCCCTTAAACAAATTCATCAACCCAAGGAAAGGACAACTGTAGTGAGTTTGTGTTTCGACTAAGCAGTTAAATAGGTGGGTGCCCTAGTGGCGTAAATAAGCCCACTGGATAATGCGTAGTCAGGAACAGGGTAGCCTTGCCAGTTGCATCGGTTGTTAGTGTGCGCACAACACCTGATGAATCGTCCTTATCACCAAAACCTCAATGACTGTAATAACAACTTGAACGAATTCACCGGGTATTCATAAGAAGCTTGGGGATGGACGAGGTGCGGGTCCTGTTCATCACTTGGTCCACTTAATCTTGTTGCCACAAGGACCGCTTTAATTACATTAGGAAATGTTCAGCCATCCCGTGAGTCAGTTGAACTGATGAGATTAGCGATACCACGGAAGCTGAACTGTCTGGCAATGTACTCTGGCAGATCTGGATGACAACACTTTTTTGGGGGTGTAGATGAGTTGTGGTCAAGTGATCCTGTAAGTCCACGATAAGGCAGACCTGATTTACCGTCAAGCGCCGTTCGCAGCATTATCCTCATTGAACGGTAGAAAGAGGAAAACGATCTTTCTCGAGACGGTAAGAACTAAGAGATTCTCATTTTAGGGATTTGCCGTGAACTTAAATGATTTTCTTAGGACACAAAGTGAAAAGTAGTTTGTTGTATAAACACTGTCCAGCACCCTTCAGTGAGCACTGATTGCAAACTCTCCTAGTCATGTGCAACGTCTTCACGAGACGGAGTTTGCACGCAGTAGAAAGAATGAATATATCGCAAAAATGAAAATAACGACATAATCCTAGACATGCGAGGCGCAGGACAACTATGTGGTCTGATCAATGTATTGTCCTCCATGGATTGCGTCGCAGTGCACGAAGCGCTGAAGGGTGCAGCCATCCCGGTCTCTCATAAGCACATCAAATTTGCGCAGATTAGGGGCACAAATTGAGGGATGAACCCGAGCTGCGCAAAGCAATTAGGTGAAGTGAAGGCGAATATGGTGCGAGTCGCAATAGTCTCCCTGATTAGTAACGCTCCTCTTGGAACACACGTTCCAGATCCGTGTGGCATGGTGCGTTGTCACATACCAGCAGACACCTATCAGTAACCGCGATGCCGTTGACATCATTTGCCGCAACCACATTGTTGCAACTCCCCCTTGGGACGATATATCCTGAAAGTTCATCTGCAGTCGTTACGCTGCGCACGTCTGCCATGGGCTGAATGCGCCCTTGTGCAATTCATTTCATCAATCCAAACTGCTTGCCACACTTCAGCTGCAAAACGCATGACTTCCTTCGCGTCTTATTCTCAAGCATATTCATCGACTCCGATATAGCATGTAGCTTTTTCATGGAAACGAAGCAGCCTCATTGTTGAGGGCACTATTTGTAATAACGGTTACGTTTTACTTGGACGTGATGGCTTAGTCGGAAAGTTCAACATTAACTTGTTGCGCAGTTCCTAGTCAACGTACAGATTCTACTGACGCGCTGTACCTGCGAAAGCGGATGCATCGATGAACACCCGGAGAAAACTAGTCGCACTTGTGAAGCCAACGCTAACGTGACCCGCTCAAGTCCCTACCAGCCCCAGAAGAAAAAAGACAAACAGAGGCGGATCCTTGCGAGCTCTTTTACGACCTACAAAGACCGAACTAGACACAGCCACACCACACGCCGAGCGTCTCTGTCGCGGTTGCGCACTGACATGGAGGCTGCTGCGTTGTGGGTTGGAAGTGGGCTGCACGTGGCGTAGCCTGCGTATTGGAGTCCGAGGCGCGGCTGCTTATTTTTGCGGGATCACTCGACGTTCCCGTAACACTACTATCGGTATGTCGTCTTCAGGAAAACAGATCATGTGCCATTTCGTTCATTTCAACATCATTTGTGTCAGATAAGAAACTATCCTTTGCTCCGTAATCCCTCGGGATGCATGAGCTACGCCCATACCAGGTAGATAAAACCGTAGAACGGTAACGAACGGTTGACAAGCTGGCTAAGAACACAACGGTGGTGACTGGGTAAATGCAGCTTCGATGTGTCGGATTGATGATTAGAGACAATCCTGAGATCGATGGTGCGCCCGCTCGGAAGACAGCTGTTTGATGGGATCCTCGTGGCTGACCCAGTCAAGCTGTGATGGTTCGCCCAAAAAGACTAGATCTTTAAATCGCCACCGCTTTTTTGGCTAAAACGCAGTGTTTATGCTATCCATTGTGGAGTTGGCAGTTTTTGCGGAACATCCTTGACGGCTTCCTTGGCCACACTGTGTTCAAGGTCACTGATGCTGCCATATTTTACCATTTTTCTGGAGAAAGACCGAGATGGTATGCGGCGTTGTGGTGAAGTTAAGAGGCACTATGCTCGTCGGCAAGTTGATCTTAGACAGCATCTTGTCAACGGGATACGAAGTCTTAATGAGTGTCTCTGGCAACGTGCAGTCACTGCTCAGTGACTGCTCACTACAGGAGCATCTGTGCAGCTTTTAGTTTTAGTTTCCCCATTCTTATAAGTTCGCATTTTCATGACACAGCTTTAGTTCATCTGCAGCCGATAGTGTAAAACAACGAGAAATCGTCTGATAACCTCACCTCCGAGTACCGCTTGAATATGTCAATGCTGCAGTTATCGTATCGAAATGGCGAACGATGAAAGCCACCCATAACAGATACACTAAACGATCGATCAGTAAGGTAGATAGTAGCAAAAATGTATTTGAATCATCGTAATGCACATGAACACTGCGATTTAAGGATTATACAATATCCGTACCACCAGCACCAGCCAGTAATATATCAAAGGGGAAAGAATAGCAACGAGTGAATATAATTAGATACGTGGGAAATGCAGAAATCACTGCTCGTCTGACGATGTGATAACTGGTTGAGACCAGGTGATAGAAGAGACAGTTCGCATAAAGGTAGCTGGAAAAAGACAGAATAAAAGGAAAGCACGGTCTCAGAATCACAGATACAAGTGGGAGTACATGACGATCCATTGGTAATCTCAAATAACATTGATAAAGAGAAAAGGTATAATAAGCTTGGGCAGTCGCCTTCAGCATGGCGCAAGCAGATCGAGTGGACCACTATTTGAAAGTAGTTGTGCGACACAACAAAGGTTATCTTAAATACTATTGAAAATATGTGGATAATTCGCCCACATTGTTTACTAACCGTCTAGGGGGTCGCAATGCGTCATAAGCAGGGAGAGGAAAGAGCAGCGGTTGATAGATGGCAGTCACCCGCTGCGCATCTAGAAAAATAGATCACGCGAGTAAAGCGTGGATCAACAATGCACGACAAGTTGGCGTTAGGCGTGCAAACAACAAGAGAGCAAAGCATCAATACGATAAGAACAGTACGATTGCCAAGAAATGAAGTGTCGGAGTGATCAAGTGCGAACACTAACACAGGAGAAAATTGTAGAGACAGCGGGCACGAAAATAGAGCAATCTAAGTGTACGTAGGATTGTAGTGGCTCATTTGCTAAGCAAGCTTGGACGGGTTAATTCTGTGTGCTCCAATAGGAAGGTAGGGTATCTTCGCTTTGGTTGGATCAATTCGACTTAGTTTGACTAAGTGCATTGTTAATAATCTATGTGAGTCCTCGGAGACAATCAGAGCTTAATTCAGCAAAGAAAGCACTTTCATAATGAATAGTCGCCTTAAGAACAATGATTGATGTTTAAAACCATGGATCACCTAATTAAGGAAGAATGGACGTCGAAATCCATCCCATACTCCGTAGCAAACAGATATATTTTGTTCAATTGGGTGTCAAGAAGTGCAAACCGAGTTTATCGCCGAGCATATCGGAACAACCGTCTTAAAACAAATCATGACGCCAGAGTAAACAGTTAACAGGATGTGGACGCAGACCACAGTCATGTGTCTATTCGTCCATTAAATAGGTAAGGGTATGAAATGAAAACAAATGATGGGATTTATATGACCTGATGCCGGAACTGTGTCAAATACTAGGTGAGACTGACTGGAAGAAAGCTTAGTGGCTACACGAACACAGCAAAGCCATTCTTCATCACGATCAGAGGGCCTCCATCTTCTTAGCGCGCTTTTCTAATTGTTGAAGAGAACTAACTGCCACAACTAACCTAACCCACTATTTGTTATGAAAATCGCTTAAATGCCAGGACAATATTTGAGTAGCAAAATGATCAGTGAATAACAAGTAGGCAATCAGGTACCATGCGCACACAATCCATGGACCGGTGTTTAAACGTTTCTCTGTTCGCTCTCTTCTCACTGAAACTGCAAATCTTGGCCGAGAAGATAGTAACCGTATCTGCTAAATCGCGATGTACCGCACTACCGTCCAAATGCTTTATTCCACATTTGTTCAAGCCCTCCACCCTTGGTAACTCTCCTGCGCTTCCGAGTACACAACATGGTGCCGCTTTGGGCGACAATATTGGATGAATGTAAGTGGTTTTGTGCGGAACCAATGGCAAGCCAAATTCACCGTTAACAACGTCAACTTGTGCGTAGGGCTGAGCAGTTCCAACAGCATTTTAACTGGCCTGCAGCACCAATTTTTATTTTTCATCCAGGAATCCACAGGGTTACTAGTGTGCAAACACTTCGCCAGTGTATGGCAAGCTGAGGTTACTTGCGACTTTCCTGAAGCGCAACATAACCCCTGGTCCAGACGAACTGCCTCCGGCTTTTTTCAAAGATGAAGGCCTATCACTTGTTCGAGGGTTAACTTCCCCGAAGGATTTGCATTACTGAAGCAACCCCGTCTGATTAGAGCCTAGCATACATCGTTTGGTCTTCAAAATGGGTGCACGGACAGATAGCGCCTACCACAGACGGATTAGACAAATTTGCGTTGCGTCTAAAGTGTTCGCTGTCCAGCTTTTAAGAAGAATAGGCCTGGAACGCGAAAAGAACATACGTGAAGAGCAAACTTGGTCCCGTTCAGATCGGAGTTGCATTGAGCACATGTTTATGCTACAGCAAATACTACAGTGTCGTCAAACTTTTGACCGGCCAACGATCGCTATCTTCATAAACATACGAGTCGCGTTTGACTCTGGTTGTCTACTGTAAAGAGGAGTGCCCGAGAAGTACGTTAACATTATTCAAACTCGAAACACGGGCCGAGTGCGGAGGTGCGGCTGACTTTCGTCACCCTTTAGTAGCACAAGTGGTGTGAGACAGGGCAGACTGGCATCACCCTTCCAGTTTAATTTCGCTATGTAGGTATCTTGGAGAATGCTGTGGACAACTGTGAACTTAGGGGCATAGAATTGCCTTCGGGAATTGACGTATGCAGATGATATCGACGCAACTTACAATACTTCAAAAGCCGCCCAAAATGTGCTGCGTAGGTTGGAGATATCTGTCTCCCAGTTTGGAATGACGTTGTCCCTATCGTAGTGAAAGGTCTTCATAAAGGACTGGTTAGGAACTGCTCCTACCCTCACTCTTTTAGATTATTCTTTGGAAGTTGTAGACAGGTTCGCTTACCTCGGAAACTGAATCAGCACGGACGGTTAAACGGATGACTTTCCGTTGCGGTTCTCTAAGTCTCGAGTTGCGTTTGCTAATCTCCTCCATCTCTAGAGTTTACATGACTTGAGCCCTCCTCTGAATCGCCGTCTGTAATGCTACAGTGTGAGCGGTCCTGCGCTATGATTGCGAGACTTGGCCTGTTCGCACAGAAATATGTTCAGAGGATGTGTGTTTCGATCATCGCTACCTGCGGAGCATTGTTGATGTACAAAGGCAACATGGCGTTAGTAATGGTGACGTTGGTAAAAGAGTTTTTAAGGGAGACAGACTCTGCTGACCTCTGAACTGCAAAATCTTATTGCACATGATGCAGTGGCTTAAGTACGTGCTTCGCATGCCAGCTCCGCGCTCACCTCGCTGTGCACTCTGCGCGTGCGCAAGTCAAGTCAAGTCAAGGAAAGCTCCATGCACCCAGATGGATGCAATTGCAACATTTTACACTATTTACCAGAAATGTGAGAAAACAGCACCAGTAAAAAAGATAATTTTACAATTGTAGAAACAGGTTTGGTAAAGAATGCACAGAGGTCACTTAAGTAGTCAGTCCCGCATCTTTGAGCAGCGACCGCATATCGATAGAATGAATTACAAGATTCGTCATCCAGCTGATGGCGCCAACTTTTGTTAAAACGTTAACTGATAGCTCGTTTCATTTGGATAAAAGCAGCAAACTGCGAGTTATGCGCGGTGTCTAGGATGCTCTTTTAAAGAATCGGTGGAATTAAAAACATAGCGCTAACGAATGAATTGAACCCAAAAAATGAAAGCACTGACCTCAAATTTGGCCGCGGTGGGGCGATCTCGATTCCCTGACTGGAAGCGCAAGGACCACGAACACACACGGCTGGAAACTCTCTCGGACATGGAAAGATCAACAATTCAATGTTGTGAGACCCTACTCCCATGATTACAATGCTACAGTAGTTGTTGGTTTTTGCTGTCTTTCTATATCATCTTATGGTAATTGGTTGTGAGGTTCTGCCACTTGTGCTACTATTTGCGAGTGTTATATATATATATATATAGGTGCGGGAGAGCCTATGGTGCGCTGAGGCTGGTGGTGGCTAGATCCTGACAGATGGTCTACCCACTGCTGCTACTGTTGCGTCATAGTCTCATGTCCTGGGCGCCTCCACGTGGCGACCGCTGGGTGGGAGTTAGGTTTCGCCCTTCTCCCTGCTAAGATCCAGGACAACAATCCGCATGAGTCAGCTAACTGACCATGTGCTAGACCCGCTGCCTTTCGGGTGTTCATTTAATCGAAGGCTTTGGCTGAGGACCCGAGTCGTTCTCCTGTCAGGTGTGGGCGCCCTGGCAGTATCCTAGTCCATCCTCTCCGGAGGTTAGGAAGTGGTCGATGGCCCACTTCCCGTAAAACCTAGCCATGGGAGACAACAGGTTACGGGTTATATTCTCAATGCTCGATTGGCGTAGAGCACGAGTACCACGCATTGTCTCTGACGGTGGGAGGACACCTCCGGGTGTTCAATGGTTTGCTACTGCCCGCCTCAAGCCAGGCAGCCCCTGGTCAAATTGGTGCAAACCCGCCAAAAACCCACCTGCGTCTGGCCGTGGTCGCAGGTGCGTATCCAATTACGGTCGCAAAACATATGATAACTGTTCCAGAACCTCAAAGGCTGCGTGTGACGGCCGTCAAGCAGATCCCCATCTGTCTCTGCAATCACATTCCCGAGCTGGATCTGCTCTCCACTGCCTTGTGGGTCAGGCTATTGAGCCAAAGGCTCCGGGTGGAGTCCCTCAAGCAAACCTCCAAACCACCCACTGCCTTGTGGGTCAGGCTATTGAGCCAAAGGCTCCGGGTGGAGTCCCTCAAGCAAACCTCCGAAGGACAACGACCACCTCGCGTGCGATTGCCCACCAATGCAATCGTATGCCTGCGCGCAAAGCACTCAACATCGGGTGCTGGAACGTGCGCACACTACTGGACCGGAACTCGAGCGAGCGCCCGGAGCGACGCACTGCACTGGTCGCAATGGAGCTGGCGCGCTACCACATCGATATTGCGGCGCTCAGTGAAACTCGGCTCGCTGAGCAAGGTAAGTTACATGAAGCAGGTGCTGGCTATACATTCTACTGGGTGGGGAACGCCGCCTCAGCACCACGTGAACATGGGGTCGGATTTGCAATATCCGATCGCCTGAATGGCCAGCTGGTGGGTGAACCAACGGGCATCAGCGCGCGACTGATGACTGTTCGCCTGCGACTCGGAAGAGGTAAGTTTGCTACTTTTATAAGCACGTACGGTCCGACCATGTGTTATCCTGATGACACGCGTGATCAGTTCTACACTGAGCTATCCTCCGTGATACGGTCTGTGCCGAGGAGCGACCGACTATTTCTGCTGGGTGATTTCAACGCGCGCGTTGGGCGTGATGCATCAGCGTGGACAGATGTTATCGGTGCGCATGGCATTGGTTCAGCGAATGCGAACGGTGACAGGCTGCTCTCACTGTGTGCCACTCACGGCCTGACGATCACGAACACTCGGTTTGCACTGAGTGCGAGTGATATAGCAACTTGGACGCACCCACGGAGTGGTCACGCTCACCTGCTCGACTATGTCATCGTACGTCAGCGTGATATGCGTGAAGTGCGCATGACACGTGTACTGCGTGGAGCTGAGTGTGGCACTGATCACAAATTGGTTCGGACCAAACTGTACATATATTTTCGTAAATCGATGTATTGCACTCCCGCCGTGAATCGGCGTAAATTTAACATTCTCTCCCTCGGCACTGTGGCGAAACGTGCTGAGCTGGAGAAGGCGATGGCTGCACGCCTGTGTGGTGATGTGGACTGTATAGCCACAGTGGGCGACCTGTGGCACCACATTCGCGACCAGGTGACAGCTGCTGCGGAGGAGACCATCGGGCGCGCAAACTGTAAGCGGCCTGATTGGTTTGATGACAACAATGTGACGATTGACGCATTGGTGTCAGAGAAGAATGCAGCATTTGCTGCACATGTTGCAGACCCCAGTGACTTGGGGAAGAAGAGTCAGTTTCGCAAATTTCGACGGCGACTGACCCGAGAGCTCCGTCGCATTAAAAATGCATGGTGGACGGAGAAGGCGAAGCAGATGGAATGCTACGCCGAACGCCGTCAACACAAGGAATTCTTTGACTCCTTGAAGGCGGTGTATGGACCGAGATTGGAGCCGCTGAGGACACTGATCGATGGTAGTTCAGGCGCTACCTGCACCCAGACTGCAGACATAATGCAGGTCTGGCGGAAACACTTTGACTGTCTCTTGAACAACCGTTCAGAGATCGACTGGCCTACATTGAATGGCCTGAAGCAGCACGATGTGAAGGCGGATCTGGCAGATACGCCGAGACTGGATGAGACGCAGAGAGCACTTGCTCAGCTGCGAAACGGCAAATGTGCCGGAGGTGACGGGATCCCACCTGAAGTATTGAAACACGGTGGACCCGCGTTGTTGACTGCGCTGCACCACTTGGTGCAACGCGTGTGGATTGAGGAGGAAGTGCCTTCTGAGCTGAAGGATGCCCTTGTGCTACCACTGTACAAGGGCAAAGGTAGCAAGCAATGTTGCACGAATTATCGTGGCATCAACTTGCTGAGTTGTGTGGGCAAGGTGATTGCCCGAATCCTGCTCAATCGCCTCGTGAGTCAGATTGTGGAACCAAACGTGGCGGAAGAGCAATGTGGATTCCGTTCGGGTCGCAGCACTATAGATATGGTGTTTGCGGCTCGTCAGTTGCAAGAGAAGTGCAGAGAACGACACCAGCCTTTGTACTCGCTTTTTGTTGATTTCACCAAGGCATTTGATACGGTGAACCGCGAGGCACTGTGGCTGGTGTTGGGTAAGTTTGGTTGCCCGCGTAAGTTTGTAAGTTTAATTGAATGTCTGCACAGTGGTATGCGAGCGAGGGTGCAGCTGAGTGGAGAGACCTCTGATGACTTCGCAGTTGTCTCTGGTGTGAAGCAAGGCTGTGTGTTAGCTCCTGCCCTGTTTAATATCTATCTTCATGCAATGTTGTCTTGTGCTTTTGATGCGGCTTGTGTTTACGGTGTTCGTGTGGAGCACCGTATTGATGGTGGGTTGCTGAACATCCGTCGTTTCGGTGCGAGAACTCTAGTCTGTGAGACAACTATCCGTATGTTGCTGTTTGCTGACGACTGTGCGTTGTTTTCACACAACGCGGATGAGTTGCAGCACATGACTAGTGCTCTGGCTTCGACAGCGGCCAAATTCGGGCTCACCATCAACACAAGCAAAACTGTCTGTCTGTTTCAGCCTTCACCGGAGGTGCAATCTTCAATATTGCCGCAAATCAGCATTGGTGCTGAAGTATTGGAAACCACCTCCCGCTTCTGCTACCTTGGGAGTGTGATGTCGACTGATCAGCAGCTACACATTGAGTTGCGTAATCGCGTGTCGAAGGCGGCAGCGGCATTCGGGAAGCTAGAGTACCGAGTGTGGAACAACCATCAGCTTAGCATTGGCACGAAGCTGATGGTGTACAAATCCATGGTACTGTCCGTTCTTCTATACGGCAGTGAAACGTGGACGATGTACCGTCGGGATGTGCGATATCTCGAGCGGTTCCATCAGCAGTGTCTGCGACGAATTCTGCGGATCGGCTGGGGCGCCAGAGTTGCAGACACGGAAGTGTTGCGCCGAAGTGGGATGTATGCAGTGGACTGCATACTTTTACTGCGACACCTGAGATGGCTCGGTCATGTGAGCCGTATGGATTCGACGCGAATACCGAAACAACTTTTATACGGTCAGCTGAGTATAGGGAAGCGGCATGCTGGGAAACCCAAGTTACGTTACCAGGACATGATTAAAGTGAGCCTCACACGTTCTAATCTTGATTGCAGATCATGGGAATCGAAGGCGGTTGATCGGCGTGCATGGCGCGATCTAATCACGAAGGCAGTTGCTGAGGTGCGGGAGAAAGCCCTCATGCATGCAGAGAAGAAGCGGCAAGTGCGGAAGCGGCAAGCACCGATGAATTGTACTCCATCGACATCGAGCGCATTGTGTTGTAGAACATGCGGTCGCGAGTGCCTTAGTCAGGCAGGCCTAGTGAGCCATGAGAGAGGTCACTCGGGACCATTGCCGAAGCGACGACGGGTCCCGCAGTGAACGTAGGCAGCACCGGCGCAGCGTTTGTAGGCACGCTGAATTCGATTTACTAACCGCATGCTTGCATGCTAAGTCTCTTTATTTCAGGTGGTGGGTTTTCGGTTCTCTCCTAATGCCTTTCTTTCTCATATAAATGTCTAGTGGGCCATGAGCTAGGTCCTTTGGGGCCACTACAGAAGCGACGATGGGTCCTGCAGAGAATTACGACGAGCCGGCGCAGCGTTTGTAGGCACGCTGATTTCGATTTACTAACCGCGTGCTTGCATGCTAAGTCTCTTTATTTCAGGTGGTGGGTTTACAGTTTTTACCTTAATGCTTTTCTTTCTTATATAAATATCTCCATGTACTCTATTCCATTAACTTGCACATATCGCTTTAGCCAGTTGTATTCGATTTCCATAAGATTTTTGTGTTCGTGGCATACCGTGAACTATACTTCCTGACTTCGTGCACTTAGCTGGGATGTGTTTGTAAACAACTTATTACGTATGCTATTTAATTAAGGTTTATGTCACCGTTTCCTTATGCATTAATCCAGTTTTTCTCTTTTTCTTTCTCTCTCTCTCTCAAGTGATTGGCTGTTGTTTGATATCCTTGGTGTGGCTGCGCTTGATGTGCATGTTGACAAGGTGCCTACCTGTCTATTACCCACTACCTCGTCCATACTGGCTCCAGGAGACAGTTGGTCGTTGCTGGAGGGGACGGGGTGCACGGTTCTTGTGGCCGTGTTAGGCTCGAAGAGTGGTTCCATGCACTCAGTATGGAGCGGACTACGGTCCAGCCACCGCCTTGTGTGCGGTTGATTCCCCAAATACAGCGTGCTTGTGTTTGCCTGTGAAGGAGTGTGGGCCGGCTCCGTTGATGAAACGTGGTTCCCATCCACATGCCTCCCGGTCTTATTCCTTCGGGTTTACACTGGATATGGGGTGTGTGGTTGGAGCTGTGGGTGGTGCAGCGCAAGCCATCCATGGTCCCTCTGTAGGCGCAGGCGTCCTGTGGCTTGCCACAGTGACAGGCAAATCCGAAACCGGATGCCGCCAACCATATAGGTAAACGGGTGGGACTGAAGAAAAAGGGGAAATTTGTTCCGGCTGTCTAACGCACCAGCAAGAACCAAGGTAGAACGCAGTGTAAAGCAGCAAACGTATAGTGCGGCGAACATATTGATCGTACAAGTTTAAACTAAACGGGGCATTAATATAGCAGGAAAGGGAGAAATAAAGGGCAAAGTTAAGCAGCCTACCAAGGCGTCTTTGCAAAATAACAGTGAGAAACGAGACAGGGACCAGCCCCCACAAAGTGTAGGCAGGGACGAGATATTCAGGAAGGAATACACTATAGATCTACCAGACTCCGTAACTTGAATTCCGGTTGGACAGCTTACATGAACTGAACCAAGTTCGAATCGCGTTTAATGAGTTGTGAGGGAGAGAAGCTGTGCAATATGTCATTTAAGGACAAACCATGGCAGAGCACAGATCCCTGCACCATCCGTCGCAATGAGGCTGGACTTTGCGTGCCTCAGTGATCCACTGAGCTGTGCTGGGTGGCGCTACTCGTACCTTCAGAGCCACTCATACCAGATTGATTAGAGACCAGACAAGCTCACTCTCCCGGTCCTCCAGGTTGCAGGTTAGAGGGATGACGGCTCCTTACTAATTAAATACGGACGCCTTGTAGTCCATTGCCGAAACTCGTTACCTTGCGTTCAGATTTTTGAACCAGACTTTGGTTAAGAACCCTAATCGTTCTCCTGTATAGGCCTGTGCAACCTGACAGTATCCTACCCACGCAATACAATGAACGTTTCCTTAAACAATTTGTTGATACTCTGGTCGTCGCAGAGGACAATAAACAGCGCCCTAGCTACTTCACCGAGCAGGGTGGATAGGGGTTTGGATGCTACTGAGCAAACCATCCCGTCTTCTTATTCACTCTCTTACGCTTTTTCACTCTTATCGTCCCATACCAACTTCACTTATATCCCCCCTGTTTTCAACCCCAAACAGAAAGAGGCTACTTACGTTCGACCACCGGCGTGTTCGACGCCTTGTTTATGGCACAGGAAGAGGAAGTGAACCGCACAGTACCGTTAGTTCACGCACCAAGCTTCGATGGCTCGGCCACGTGTTCTGCATGCTAGCCCATCGACTCCCGGGAAGTGCGCTGTTTGCGCAACGGGGCCGTGGATGTAAGAAGAGAGGGGCTAACAGATGACTTCGTCAAGAGGAATGAAGTCCTTCAATTCGAAGTTGACCTCGGTTGGAACCTTTAGGCTTTCTGGTTTGAATCCGAAAGACGATGAACACGTTTAGTAGGAAACACTTTTGACATGACTAAGAATCGACCGTGCAGTTTGCGTATTTTCTTTGACCTTCCCCTAAAACCATGATCTCCTTTCTTAGACAAGACATAATTCTTGTTGCAACACAACAGCCGGCTGGTAGTTATCCGGAATGAAGCCCACCCGTTACTGGGGACTCAGCTGGCGTGTTTCTGTTGCATGTTGTTTTCTCTTTCATAAACTGCACACCATAGCTATGGTGGTTTCCCCTTCTGGATAACGTGCATAGTTATAATGATGAGGCGCAAGCGAAGTACGTAGGCTGTCCGCTACATACAAAGGTCATCAGCACGGGCGTGCAACGAGCTTTGATTTTTCCGCCGAATTTGGGAATCGAGTGAGAATTGATCGGCCAACAAATACCAGCCCTCGGCAAAGGAATCGAACTATTCGGTCAATATGATAAACCCGTGGAGCGGAATTCACTCACACTGGCTGAAAACAGATGCAGAGGAGTGAGTGACATTGACCTCCTAGATAGAGCAAACCTATCCTGTAGTGATATACGCTCTGTCTACCGAGTTCTGACTAGCCAGACAGACGCAGTCTCATAGGGCAGCAAAGCAAGAAGTACAACAGTTGTCAGTGGCAGAGAGCAGAGGGAAAAAACAAGCGTTACAATGGCGACGCGAGTTTCAATCGAACCCAGGAATGACAGCCAGCTTCGAACAATTATAGGCACTTTTGAAGCAACAGGCCAAGCTCATTGAGATGTTGACGCAGAGCCTGTCGATGCAGTCCAGCCCTGAGTTAGGGGCAAGTGGAACTGTCCCCTTTCCAGAAACCCTGACACAACAGATCAGTGAATTCCATTATGATGCGAATGCTGGCGTGACATTCGCTTCCTGGTTTCACAAGTATGAAGACGGGTTTCATGTTGATTTCGCAAATGTACCGGCAGAGAAGAAAATTCGTCTGATGCTCCGGAAGCTGGGTGCGACTGAACATGAGAAGTTCACAAACTTCATCTCGCCAAAGAAGAGCACTGACTTATCTCTGGACGAAGTTGTCTTAGTCCTGTCACAAATGTTTGATGAGCAGACATGCTTGCTCAGCATCCGGTACAAGTGCCTCACGATGGCCAAGAAAGATGACGAAGATTGGGTCATCTACTCCAGCCGTGTAAATCGGAAGTGCGAACGTTCACGGTTTCACAAAATGACTTCCGACCAGTACAAATGCCTCATTCACGTTTGCGGCCTACAAGCAGCCAAAGATGAGGACATACGAACAAGAATAATGAGCAAGATTGAGCAGAATTGTGGCATCACATTGCAGCAAGTGACCGCTGAGTGCCAGGGAATGACGAACCTGATTCAGCATTTGTCCAATACGAACGAACATGACCTTAGTTGTGTAGTCAACCAGACTTCCTAAAAAGGCACCAACTCACGTGAGTCCATTACATTCCAAACCTCCCCCTCCTTGTTGGTTTTGTAGAGAATGGTATTGTGCTCGATACTGTCCGTTTATGAATCCCATTTGCAACCGATGCGGCGGAAGAGGTCATAAAGAGTCGTGTTGTTTGGCACGTGGTCCTACTCTGCCCAAAAAGAAACGCAACAATGCCACACCGCTCAGACGGCCCGATGGGATCAGAACGACCACTGCGACATTCAAGGTTGATGGTATCAACTGGCGTAAATACATCATGGTGGAAATCAATGGCAGGCAAGTCAAGTTACAACGTGATACGGCTTCAGATATCACTCTGATCTATAGCGACACGTGGCCCAGGTTGAGGCAGCCGGCACTCGTACAAACGACCCATACGGCAAGAAATGCTTCAGGTGATAAGTTAAAATTGCTTGGTGAACTGAACTGTCGAGTCAATTTCCGAGGCCAACAAATTTACACATGCATTGTGACAGACCGACCGGGGTTAGATTTGCTGAGACTCGACTGGATGAAGAAGTTGAAACTGCGTGGTCAACCGCCGCAAAGCAACCAGCTGTCGAATCTATCGACAACAAGTCCGATAGTTCAAAGTCAGATTACGCAGATGAAAAGACGCCAGGAAGAAATGCTCTAACCTGGTCCAGACTGCTTTAGAATGACCAGTGTTGCCCTGAACCTCAAGCCAGTCAACGAACCAGTATACAGAGCAAAGCGCCTTGTACAAAGCAGGAAAGAAAAGCATGGTCGTTCTCAACTAGGGGGAAATCGGACAGATATGGTCCGTCATCTCAAAATTAGTGATATGGTGGACGCACGAAACTTCCGAGGACTGAGGAGGTGGTCGACAGGAAGAGTGATCCGCAGAAAGGGCCGAGTCATTTAAGAGCTAATGGTAAGAAATGAGAAATTGGTTAGGCAAACCAATCAGCTGAGGCCGAATCACGGAAAGACTCAAAGTTCCCCAGAACTGCCATCCTTATCGTGGGATATATTGCTAGACACGTTTGGTTTGCATGAGGAAGCTGAGCCGATATGTGAATCATAACAGCACCTGCAAGCATCAGCTGATATACAGTACAAGTCAACCCGAAAGCGGAGACGACCACAGTGATTACAAGGCGATCCCAAAGCGAAAACCCATGAACAAAGTTCAGTTCGAACGGTACGCTGGCATACTTAATTCGAAAGGGGAGGTAATAGAGGCGTAAGCGGAGCAGGTAGGCTGTCCGCTACATACAAAGGTCATCAGCACGGGCGTGCTAGAAGCTTTGATTTTTCTGCTGAATTAGGGAAGCGAGTGATAATTGATCGGCCAGTAAATACAAGCCCGCGTCAAAGACATCGAGTTATTCCGTCAATATGGTAAACCCGTGGAGCGGAATTCACTCACACTGGCTGAAAACCAGACGCAGAAGAGTGAGTGACGTTGATCTCCTAAATTAGCATGATTCGTTTACCAGGAAATAGAGCTAATCTATCCTGTAGTGACATACGCTCTGTCTACCGAGTTCTAGCCTTTTGTATTCCTTCGGTTGGCTGGAACGTGACTGACAAGTCAGACAGTCGCAGTCTCACATGGCAGCAAAGCAAGCAGTACAACAGCCGTCAGTGGTGGAGGGAAAAAAGCGTTACGACATGTTTCTGCGGCTGCCCGTCACAGTAGTCGCCAGCACTCACGGGACGCTTGTGTCTACCGAGGTAGCATGAGTGGTGCGCGATGCACCGTCAACAACTTGCCTCAAAGACCTCATATGGAATACAGAGTCGAAGGAATGAAACCGAGTGACATGTGGATGGTATGTACGATTGTTTCGGAGCCGGCCCATTGCATGTGCGTGCCCTAGGTCATACGAGCTCCGTTGCAGAGTACACCGTGTGCTAAATGCAACGTGAGTGTATGAAGATGTTTCTCTGAGCCGACGATTAACATAGAGGAATGGGAGAGCAAGGTGCATGTCTTTGTTTATAAATTTGGCTTTTTGGTGGAAAGAAAACGGGCAGAGGGTATGTAACAAAACTGTGAAAACCGACAGATCAAAGTTGCTACTGCAGGAGGAGGAGTGAAGGAACATACCATTTGATTCATCCTCGTACTCATCATAGTTGAATAGCATTTCGTAGGACCCATGTAAGAGAGCACGTAGAAGAGTCTGAGCAGTGCAGCATATCTCGTCCTGAAACGGATAAGAAAGCAAGGAATACAGAAACATGAGCAACAAGTAGAGCAACGACAAAACGAATCACCGGATGAGTATAAAGCAGACAAGTTATTCAAGGACCAATAACTACAGAGCACCAGATATAGTCGTTATCATTCGTGGCATAGGTCGGAGAGACTCGAAGGGAAAGCTTGCCGCTGATAAGTTCCAATGGGGTGAATAAGCTGTCCAGTGATCGTCCGGATGGTGATGGCTGTATGACAGTCGGGCTGTGATGAACCAAAGCAAAACTGCTAAGATCCCTCCACTATTTACTTAACATAAGCAATTGCATGAGCAAATGGTATTGTTGTAAAGTAGTTGACGGCTTAGGGAAGGAGGTCGCGTTCCCAAGAATCATTCTCGCCCGTTGTTTGGTTGTGACGTACATAACAGTGTAGAATGTGGTGCGTTACATTACAGTTGAAAAGTTAGCCATGAAGACTGCCTCTGTAGCACAAGATCTAGTGGCACAGGCTGTTGAATGCAAGCTGAATGATCAATGACTCGATGACACGGTGGGAAATCGCACTGCAGTATAGTACCAATAGAACGAAACGGTCATCTCTCAGGTGAATTGTTGGAAGTTGTTGTAGAATTGAGTCTAGCTGCCGTGAAACTAGTTGGAACAGTTACTGTGCAAAAGGCACAGGGAAAGAGATGATTGAAATCAAAAGGCAATCGAAATCAAGTCGAATAAAAGAAACATCACAAAAGAGAGCTAAGAATAGGAGTCAATGGATTAACTGTAAGGATGGTGCGAACAACGTGGCCTAGTTGATGTAACGGGCTGCGAAGCTAGTATCCGAGAAAACGACCAGAATCAAACATACTCGGCCATAGTGAAGGGTTTTAAGCCAGATTGCCTTGCCATACAATGATTGTCCTGCAGTTCCACCCGGAAAGTATGATACCGAAGATCAATATGCAAGCTTGGATGCTCACACCGGATATGAGTTAGTAGGTAGCGGACATCGATGACCAAATACGAGGAGAAGCTTGATATCTCCGTCGCGCAGTGACCAGGCCCTTGAAACATACAGCAGCACACATGGAGAGTGAACTGCAGTTTGTCACAAGCAGTCGAGCGGTCGTCAGCCATCGGGATCGACTGTCGAGCAAGCCCAGTCAGTTCATCGGGTCGATAGGATGCCGTAGAATACCGGAATGACCAGTAAACAGGTGAGTGAGTAATGGGTGTGTGAAACGAGTCTGTCGGCGTCTAATTGAGGCGCATGCAGTGATTCGCGTAATAACGAAAAATTCTCCAACATATCGATACATAAATGCGTTTGTTAGACTGTACTTTTTCACAGCCAATTGAATCCACAATGCTTTCAAACTACTCCGTAAAGAGATCATGTTCCCCCATAGAACTTTCAAGATGGTTCTTAACGCTTTCAAGTTGCATCCAGTGAGCACGAGCGCCTCTAAATGCTACCGTCCATCGAGTAACCAAACTCAAATCAGATGATATTACCCCGCTCTGTATGCTTATCTGTTATAGAATCGACTTATTTGAGATCGGCCACTCAGCGGACAGTACCCATTGCGTCCATTGGATTCAAGATGAAAGCAATATGGAACACCTTGAGAGATTTAAGGAAGAACAAGATTTGCTTAAAAGGGAATTTGAAAGCGCTATGTGTTCAGTTCGTTGATAAAAGGTATAGAGGGGCTGAAAATCGCTTCAAAGGCAGTGTGGTGCACTTCAACTGTGGTGCGACATGTGACAGTGTGGACCAGACACTTTGCTAGTGATCGCGGAAGGAAACTAGAAACTGAACGTGCTTGGTCACCGATATTTACGAAGCATTCCTCGGATTTGGTGATAGAAACGAATGAGTAATGCTCGAGTTCCTCACTCGGTGGACGAGCTCCTTCGCTACAGAACGAGAACGGATACCGTAGTGCAGACCGAGGAGCCGAATACTCAAATTTGAAAACTGTCCATTGATGATGTGCATCTGGGCGGAGCCAAGACAGTGTAGGCTCAAGTAATGATATGGTGGTAACATCACATAAGCAACGCAGATGTCCGAGACCGAGTGCTTGGAGCGAGCAGTGCCAGTCTTCAGAACGCTATTCGCCGATATCGCAGGAGTTGGCTTGGGCACGTTTTGCGCATGCTAGCCCATCGACTTCCACGTCGAGCGCCGTTTGCACTCCCAGGGAGCGACTGGAAAAAGTGCCGCGGTGGACAGCCAACGGACGTGGAGAGGGAGCAGGAAGAAGACAGCCTCAAGTTTGGCGGCAGTCGGACCAGGCTGTCTTCCAGGTTGGGGACCACGAGATGCTGAATCTTAGTGGTTGGAAACATTGGAGGTTATGGCTCGCAACAGACATCAGTGGCGGCAATGTTATTCTGCCATTTTATCTCACCTTTAGTGCACACAAAACTCACGAAACAAAAAACCCAAAATGGCATGATTAAAACCAAACCAATCGTTTTCCTTTTTCATTATCGCATTTCGTATTTATATTTTTCCAATTTTTTCTTCTGCCATGGTCTTGATGGCACAATGTTTGTTAGCAGACTGAATATATATATATATATATATATATATATAATATATATATATATATATATATATATATATAATGATAACGGTGAGCGGATGCTACACTTGTGTGAAAATGCTCGTATATTTCTCGCGAGCATTAACTTTCCACATAGCACTCGCCGAAGTGTGATATGGCGCCCACAAACATCAAACCAGACACCGCGATCAGTTACCGCTGAACAGGAGGGGTTCAAAGCTGACGCCCAATTTAGAACCCGAGTTTGGATTCCGGCCACATTCTATGTGCCAAGCTCTGAGCTCGCTTCTGCGGACATCTGCGACGACACCGTGAGTGAATAGACACCAGCCAACTGGTGAAGCCAGACACTCTGGTGCATATCAAACTGTGCTAGCATGCGGGTTAGCAAGCGCTCAGTGAACACAATCGAATGTCGCTGATAGAATTTGTGTCAGATGTTATTAGCAGCAGGCATAATTTCATGTGACAAATCAAATTGCCAACTTGGACGATCAGTTTCTACGCAGTCTAACTACTGGATGTTCGCCTAAATATTTCGGTTGGAAGTGAACACAACGCAGCTCGTAAAGTGCTCAAAGCGAAAATGCGTGCTAGCCTAAAGAGAGACCGCGAAGCCTGGTGGTTGCACTATGCGTCGGAGATGGGAACAGACGGTTCCTAGTAACCATCGTAAGTGGTCCCGTCTGATACGAGCAGAAAACCTGATGTTAGCAAGGCTATGTGTGACGAGAGTAGACAGCCAGTTCAGGACACGTCAAAACGCTTGAAGTGTTGGCCCAAACACTTCGAAAAGCGGTTTAATCAGCTAAAATTACCAGCTTCCTTATCGGCTATTGATTGCTCTTCTCCCTTGGATCCGCCCTTAAGGCTGAAGTCGAACGCAAGATTAGACTGTTGAAATCAAATAAGGCCGCAGAAGCAGAGAGGCATTCTCCGGTCCTCCTCAAATTAGGGAGACCAGCTTTTGTGAAGGATTTGAAAAATTTACCGGTGAAGTCGTGCGAGCAGACTGTCTAAACAGAGTGGATCCGCTCTGTTATACTTCCAATTTTCAACGGAGGTTTACGTTTGGGATGTGGCAGTTATAGATAGACCAGTCTGATCTTCATCGACTCTATAGTTCTCCGTAAACCAACTGGAATCCGCGAAAGCCAGATTCGCGGGAAGCAAGCCGGGTTCCGTGGAAATCGGAACTGCATCGACGGCTTCTTCCCATTACTACAATTGTTGGAACACCACCATACTTATTGCCCATCCATCATAGTTGATTCCTCGATATCAAAGGTGCTTTCGAAGCGCTGGATCGATGTACCCTTGGGACTGTTCACTCAAGAAAGGTGTGCCCGAAAAATACGTAAACACTACCAGAGCGCAAAGCATGCGTAGCTCTGGCAACGAGACGGCCTATGACAAACCGTCGCCGCGCCTCAATATCTCTAGTGGTGTGAGACAAGGCTGCTCGCTGCCGCCCTTCCATTTGAACTTCACCATCGACGAAGTCAAGAATACTGCGTTCACTGGACACAGGCTATAAAGTGTGGAGCTCCTTCCAAGTAATAAAATTGCTGAGTCAGAGTATGGCGACGACATTTTTGGCAGCTCACAAAGGAGCCAGACAGCAGCCGACAAATTAGCACTAGCTATCAATCGTTTCGGGTTATGATTTGCACTCTCGAAACTCAAAGTCCTTCACTAAAATTGGTAGGAACGCACACATGCGCTGACCCTTGGTAGTGATCAGCTAGAAATCGACGAGAAACTCAAGTACATGAGCAGCTAGATTAGTGCATGAGGAATAGAAGATGAAATTACATACCGAATAGTAGAAGCTGGAGATGCTTTTGCTAATCTCCGCCACCAGTGGCGCCGGCGTGACATCATTGTCGCCCTCAAGGACAGGACAACGTTGGCATACGGTCGACACTCGTGAACAGTTATAAAACCTGGCTCATAAAATGGAAGGATCTGAGACTTGTTACGTTCACAATCGCTGCAGTTTAGCTCATGCCTGGTGGGAACAGTGATTGAGCAATGAGGGTTTTCGTCGTATATTTGGTGTAGGAAGAGCAAGTGAACCCCTTAACATCTTTATATCACGCCCCACTACCAGAACTGCAACTGGCGAAAATCACAAACACTGTCTAGTAGTATCTTGTGAATCAACCTTAGTTGAGGCCATCAAACGGGATGCACACAAATGGCCGCTCACGGGAATCCAATCAACTAAAGAGGTCTCAGTTTTGGGGTTGAGAATGATGCCCCCACCAGCTAGATCAATGGCTGCCGCATCAGCGTCTCCGGATGCGTACAACTAATAGCTGGAGGGCAGGCTAGGGTGCAGTTAGTACATCAATCAAGTCAATACACAGGGTGTCTAATGTGTGTGCGAGTGTCTCTGATTGCGAACGTCGAACGCAGCTAGGGAAATAGAACAGCGTGGTTTTAAAAACAGCTATTGACGATAGGTGTCCAGTGGATGGAAGAATAGTTTATGTAAATTCAATAGCATCGCCGCTGGAAATTATTGAAGGAAGGTTAAATAATGATGGACGAGAGGGGACTAAGAGGAACAGGTGGGAAAGAGAGGCGCTAGCTGTAGCATGTTTTCGCTTATCCGCCCTGCTGTATGCAGCAGATGGGGCGACAATTGTAAAGCTTCACGAAAGCCGATGCAGGATATGGTTGAAGTTTGAAGTAGTCATGGCTGTACATAGGTTAAGATAATGCCAGGGCGCCCAGGCCTAGACAGCCTAGACGATTAGGGTCCTCAACCGAAGCCTTTGGCTCAAAAGCCTGACTGCAAGACAGCGGATGTGGCAGCGATTCGAATTTACAGAACTGGACGCCATCTCACTTCAAACCCCCAACCTGGAGGATCAGGAGACTGAGTTCGTCTGACCTCTAACACTTGACAAACCTGGTAGGAGTAGCTCACAAAGTGCCTGGGCACCGCGCAGTATAAGTCAATGGGTCAAAGAGGTACGCAAACCGTCGCAATACGCTAAGGTGCAGTCTCGTAGTGACGCGGTAGTTATGGTGTAAAACGGAAATATTGCGTTCAACGAAAACATCTTAGTGAACACCAGTGAAGTACATAAGTTAACATTTTCAGGTCTGTGCAATCAGTGACAGCGGTGAAACTTGCCTGTTCTCTTACAGCAATGTACGAGTGCAGTCGGACGCCTCCGGGTTCACAGGGATCGACTACGCCAGCGCTGCCTGGAAGGAGCATCCCAGAGGCAAGAAGCTGCAAAAATCGTCTGTAAACAGTTAAAGAAAACTCGACGTAACTAAAAGCTTTGCATCAAAGGTACTGGGATCAGTGAAGCGAAGTTGGTAATATCCACAGATACGGTAAAAAAGGAGAGTAAAGAGATCTCGTGGATCTGATCTGGTGATTCAAGTATTCAGTTGCTCATGCAGTTTGATAGTTTAGCTGCGAGTGATTAGTCACCAATCGAGATGATTCCACAAGTGCGTAGTTGCAAGCCAGCCCCGATGGACACATTCAGGCGTTAGCACTCGTGCTTCATGGTTATTGGTCGTAAACAGAGTGTTCGGGAGGTTTGAGCGGCTACCATAGGCGGCAAGGGGCTCGTGATCTCATTGGTTCCTGAAGAACGATTATGCATTGATAATGCGATCTTGATAAGAAACGAAATAGCCGCTAGCAAATAGCTGAGTCTAGCGAACAACGTCATGCTTGAACAGCCGAGTAAATTGACAAGTAGTTTAATTTATTTCGATGAGAGTCTTATGGAAGAGGCGGATTTGATCAAAAAGCAGATAGTTCAACTAAGTACCACCAGTGTTCAACGAAAAGCCATCAAGTGTAAAAAATAGTCTTCAGTATAAGCGGCACTGCTTAACACTGGTTATCACTGGCAGTGGGCATTAGTTGGATTAGTAACAACATGAAAGAAACGAAGAAATGAATGGAGCTATTTCAAATTGACTACAAGAAGCTCACAAATGGGGATCACGTGGTAGTTACATGCAGATATAAAGGACTAGTCATCAACATCACTGTCAACAGCAGCACATCAACCATTTGAACTGATGCTTCGCTGCTATACAACTAAAACGTATATGAAACGAATAATAAAAAGGGAGAGGGGAGATTTATCGAAAAACCTTAATACCCTAAGCAAACGTTCAGGGTCAGGGCGCCTGCACCTTGTGTCAAAAAATTACCGCCACAAACAGCTGACTATCGTGCAAAGACAAGCCCGTACCAGCGAGGCAGCCTCCTCAGACCCTTCATTGCTCCGCATTACAATCAGACATTACCCCACAGACAATTCAGCACCAAACACACTTTAAATAGACAGTCCGACTAGGATACGTCAGCAGGCGCGCCGCTGGTGTAGACTGCTAGTTATGCCCTGCTAAGAGCCAAGCACAAGGCGAGTCATGTGGACTCCGGCATGGATGGTGAGATGGACCGAAGGTATCGAGTTTGGTCATCAGTGACTTAATTTCCCGCTGCCAAGTCAGCGTTTGTCCACCCTACATTTGGCAGACAAAACAAGGCTCTCCTCGGTAAGCGGTGACCGGGCATACGTAGTACGTGCTCAAGCCAACATAACTTATTCAATGTTAGCTGTTGCTCTACAGAAATACCATGAATATCACTGCCTAGCATTGCCAACGCAGATCATCGTTGGAAACATGCTGGTGTTGCCCAACATCAGCAATGGTGTGCAGGAAAAAGGTGCCCAAAATCGAAGGGTCCAACTCTCATCATAATGTAGTAGGACGGCCCTCGTTGTGGCCTTGTAAACACGGCTTTTCAGACCGAGGGAAACTTCTTTATGTTGCCAAAGATGTCGCGGATTCAAAATGGCAGATCTGGCTTTTGTAATACGTAAACTGACTTCAGTTGTTATGCGCCCATCATTGCTGATGCAGCTGTTAAGGTATGTGAATTGATAAACCCCCACGAGTTCCTTGCTATCGAGGGTCAATGGGCCATCAAGTAGCTGATGGTCCTGCAACACTGTGCACGTTGAAGACGCGAAGCGCATAGCAAATAATGGGACCCCTTTTGAGAGGTTATTCAGGGTTGAATGCACTGCCCCAACGTCGTTAAACAGTAAGACGATATGGTCCGCATAATTATAGTCAATGAGCTTTTTACCAGCCAGCATCTTAACGTTAGCATCGTGAGGCATGGCAAGGGAAAACCCCATGACGCAGTCCTTGAAGAACGTCACTTGTGGTCTGAAAGATATCCGACAAGTCATGGTAGACTCTGCCGCGGCCTGTAGTGTTCGAGTATAGAGCACGTAAAATGTTCACCTATTTCGTGAGAACACCTTTCGAATCATGCATCGATCGACTGAATAGAACGTACTCTTGAAGTCCAGGAACACAGGTATTGTAGGTCTGCGGTGCATTTGGGGCTGCTCTAGCACCTGTCGCAGAATGAGTATGTGGTCTAAACAGTCACGTCCTGGGCGGAAACCTGCTACATTTTTCTCCTCTGAGATTCCCTTTCCGCAGTGTGGCTACGAACGGGAATTGAGGCCAGTAATTTCGTCACAAATGGTTTTAGGCTAATGCCCCTGTGGTTAGCACAGTCGGTGCGATTGCCCTTCTTGTATATTGTTGCTATAATTGATTTACTCCAGTTAGCCGGGACGTTCTTTTGCTTCTAACAGGGAGGTCAGTGCTTTGCAGAGGACCGCACCTCCATCGTTAAATAGTGCATGTGGGATGGAATCCGGACTAACAGCACAATAACGATTGAGCGCTGTGATCGCATTTCGGACCTTAATCTCCGATGGAGCCTCCAAACTAACCGTAAATGACTCATCCTCATCCTGAAGAGAACCGGAAGCAGAGGCCAAATGAACTGGTCTTGAAAGTATTCCGCCCAACAAGTCATACGGCGCTCCTTATTGTGAATCAGTACACCATCGCTAATTCTGACTGCTTCACTGGCGCGTGGCATCTTCGGTCCAGTGCAACAAATCAGCTGGAAGAGATTGCGATAGTTCCCTTTTTCTCCTCTTCCTCTTCCATTTCTAGAGCCCGACTGGTCAACCAGGCTTCCTTGTCAGCACGCAGCCTCCGCTTTAGTTCCCGCCTAATATTCTGGTAACATCGTGCTCAGAGCCAACCGAGAGGTTATCTATGGATTCCAACAGGTTCACCGACCTCTCGGATATCCAGTGACGCGTTACGATTGATGGTGCCACAACCACAGACCCATCCATCGTGTATGTCGACCCAGATCCTATTCCACTGAAGCTCAGTGTCATTAGGACAAGAGAGCGAAAGTTCAGTTTGCAGTGCATCCAGGTAGGCATACCAAACTAAGAGCTGAGATAACTTCTCAAGTGCCAATCGAGGAAGACGCTTGGTATGCCTCCCAGTAAAATTCATCGAAAAACGGCAGTGTATCAAGGCATGACCAGAGTCTATGCAAGTCATCATCATCATCATCACTATACAAGTTAGTCGCAGGTGGAAAACATCTCAGCTGTTGTGCCGCAATACAAACAACAAGAAAAAAAGTAAGAGGCACGCTGGCTGAGTCCCCAGTAACGGATGGACATTGTTCCGGAAAGCTAACAGCCGGCTATCGTGTCTCGAAAAGAGAGCTATATTATGCCTAACGAATGAGATCGTGATTGGAGGGGAGACTAAGTGAGAGGGGGATGGACAAAGGAACTCACAACACAAAAGCCATTGGGGCTGGCTCTTTGCCATATCAGCAAGTGTGTCCAACCAAACTTGTTCATCATCCTTAGGACCCCAGCCAGGCAGTCGGGATATATCAACCGACGCTAATTTCGAAGTGAGGGTTTTCATTCCTCTGGACCAAGTCATCACTTGGCCTCTCCTCCTCCTCTTCCAACCGCACCCCCGGCGCGCAAACAACGCACGTCGCGCGAGTTGATGTGCAGGCATGCGCAACACTTGGCCCAGCCATCGGAGCCTGGTGCGTGATATAATGGTGTTGAGCGGTTCACTAGGTCTTCCTGAACCAAATACGCGACGCTGAACACGCTCATTGCTTACACGGTGCTCCCACTAGACATGAGCTAAGCTGCGGAGGCAGCGACAATGGAACGTGGCTAGGCCCTTTATGTCTGTCGACCTGATGGTCTACACAAGTACCCCTGAAAGAATTACCATCTAGAATGGAACCACGCCACTTGTAACTTACTGCAACGTGATCGACCTTGGTCAATAGTTGGCTAGTTACAGGAGGACGCCAAGTATCACTTCGGCGTCCATTGTGTCTAAAAGCGATGCTACTAAGAAACAGCAGGTACTCCCCACACAGTTGCCACAGACGCTCGCCGTTGTTCGTCCGTTCGGAGTTAAGCCCCTAATTACTAGTTAGCTGAGATTCTGAACAGCTCAGGCGACCTAGTTGTACATTCATATGCCCGGCAAGTACTATGATTTCTGAGCTGGTGGCACTGCGCAGTAGCGTGTTCAGTTCGTGGTAGAATGTGGCCTTGGCGGCATCAGAACTGCATTCGGTGCGAGCATAAGCGGAAACTACAAATAAACGGCCTTGTACTACTTCGTGAACCAATCTTAGTTGATGTCGCCAAACGGGCTGCACACAAACGGCTACTCACGAGAATTCAGTTAACCAAAGATGACTCAGCGTTGGAGCTGAGAACGACGCCTACCCCAGTTTGACCCGTGAGTGCCGCACCAGCGTCTCCGGATGTGTGCAAGCAATAGTGAGAGAAGAAACCGGGCACAGCTAATTCAACAACTCCATGAGGGCCACTGGCCATACTTCTGGAAAGGGAACACGCGTTAATATCCAGTGTGTCCAACGTGCGGCCTGTCAACCTATTTGCCTTAGAAGGTGAACGATGCACACCGTCAACGTAACGGGACAGTGTGGCTTTGTAAGGGACTGTTTGCTGATAGGCGTCCAGTGGATGGCACAGGAAGTTAGCTGCATATGGTAAGATTCCAGTGGCATTACGGCTGCTGTCGATTAAGCTGGTAATTACAGAAGGAAAGTAAGGGTTATTAATAGAACAATGTTTATTCAGCGGCACCTATATAGTAGATAAGCCATTTGGGCATAAGAAATAGAGAAGTAGAATGTGACTAATAAAAACTCCACCTGGGTAGTAAATAATTTAAGTGGAGTTCGTATCGGTAGCCGTGACCCAGAATGAGAATTGGGCTGATGTCCCTAGTGACGTCGCACACGAAAAGTAGTGGTATCAACAGCATCCTTAGCGGGAA